TTGTCGTTTACATTTATAAAGATTGATTTCGGAAATTTATTTTATATTTTCAGCATTATAATATCTGGACTGTGAAAAAGAAATTTTACGAAAAATCGAAGTTGGCGTAACACTAGCATATAGTAAAGGTCGATATGTCTTACTAGTTTTGTCGCATTGTTTAAAATAATTTCTTAACTTGAACTATATACGAAGATAATAATTCTTTTCCTCATTAACATTTAATTCTTGTGGTGCAAATAATATCAGCCCAAATATTCAGAAAGTTAGTGAAGCCAAATCTTGCATACAGTATGATAGCATTTAAGTATAGAACGTGAACGAAAGAAAAGGAAAGCGAATCGCATTGATGATCAATATCTTATCTATATACACTTGATGGCAATTGACGAGCAAAACAATGAAAAATAAAGAAAGTGAAAAACTTATACACATCAACTTTATTTAGAACAAAGTAATAAAGCAGTTTAATAATCAAGAAGTCATCTATTAATTAATTAAATTGTTTCTGTCAGAACGTTATGAAATAACATATATAATCGCTTTATCTATATCCTTCTTTTAGATTTATCTTTTGTCTGATAAATATGACAAAAAGATCATCGAAAATAGTATCAGATGATACCAATAATACCACACCTAATAAAGATTTTAACTATACGGACAATTCATCATCAAGTCGAATATCAACAACAGTCGTAGTTTCATCCAATACATCCAAAGATAATAATAATAACACCCGTACAGTTGATAAAAACACCCAACAACAAACACAAGTTGTTGTTAGTCCATTATTAAATCCAGATATAAAAATTGATGATGATATTGATTTTGATACAAGCTCAAGCATCAGCTACAAACGAAAAGAAGCACCAACAAAAAATTCAAACAAGAAGAAAATTGTTAAAACGTCTATCAACACCACAATAACATCATTAAATGTTACTTTAAATTCTGATACAAATAATGATGATGAAACTAATGTTCAACAGTTAAAAGAACTATCAAACATATGGCAATATGCTATTCGAAATGATAATAAGTCATTTGCTACATGTTTATTATGTGATAAACAGATATCTACTAGCAACTGGTCAACTTCTTCTGTTCGTCGTCATTTAATCCAAGTCCATGATAAAACAGAATTAATTTTATCAGATGAAGAAAGAAAAAAAAAGTCATCGAATATACGACAAGATCTTAAAGAAAAGCTCCACAACTTATGCGTTGAAGCTATAATACGAGACAGCTTACCATTTAAAGCTTTCAACAAACCAGGTTTATCAAAGTTGCTGCAAGAAGCAGTGCCTGGTAAGATACAAAGCATTATACACATAAGCAAGTAAAATCATATAGTGATGTATTATATTGTGAATTACCGAGATTAATTCACCTCGAATTTGATAATTCCAAGCATGGGAATATGTTTGTTTCTTTTTAGATATATAAATAAATATTTGAAATAAAGAGACGAGAATTTCGAGGTCAAATTATTCAGACTCAAGCAGTTCGATGAGTTTCAATTGTAGATGTAAACACAAATTCCCACCTGGTTTGAGTTTGAATTTGAATTTTGTGTATGTCTAATAAGAATTGTTGTATGATATCTCCAACAAACATTCTGGCAGACTAGTTTTTCAAATAGGTGTTCTTATCCATGGTAACTATGTTTACATACAGTCCACCTATTTCTTTCACACACTTTCTTAAAGTCTGCTACGGCTTCTTGTTTACTGTTCTACCTGTTTTCCACTAGTTCTGTCTTTTTTCAGATGCTAGTATGGTGATAATACTCTAATATTCGCACAAGGCCCGTTTCTATTAAAAGCAGAGAATACAATGTTAAAGTCAGAGGTGGAACTAATACCGGGTATCGATCGATCCGAATTTTAGACAGACTGGTCTGCTAGAAGATTCATCATTACCGATGATCGCTTGGTAGCCACAAGATCGGTCATCATTGGCATAGCTCTTTTACTTTTGTGATCTGATAATTTTATGAGTGTGTAATGAAGCCTTGTTGAAAGTTGACTATATCGAATATCACTAATTAGTAATGAAATCGATACTGACAAACAGTTGCTAAGAAGTTTAGATGAACGAGCCTGTCGATATACCAGTCGTCAAAAATTCTGATCGGTTCTATTTCTGTATTACATAAACTGTCTATTAAATTGACACAATATGTGTCTATGTCAGTGACGGATTTAATCAAGGGGAGCGAACGAGCAATCTGCCCTTTGAGAAATTTGTTCGATTTTTTCTTGAAAAATTAAACAAAAAAAAATTTTACACGGTCTGACACAGTAATTTTTATCGATATGTCCATCCTTTTCCAAAGCTCGTCTTTCTCCCTGAAAAAAATCATAGATCCGCCACTGATTTGTAAAATAAACAATCAGAGAACAGTCGCATGTCGAGAAACATCTGTAAAGTTGAGAACATAATGAATGAACCTCATGAACTGTTCTAGAGAGATATCATGGTCAATAAGTTTTTGATAATATAAATATAGAATATGGGAACATAAGAAGTAGTTAATACTTCATATTAAAAAAAATAATAAGATAAGTAGAAAAACAGGAAGCAGTAGCTTAAGATAACAGATAAGTAAAGTAGATCAATTCATGAACAAATATGAATGTTCTCGCAATAAGTTATATTTTATAGCATTTGCCCTTGATATATGATAAAAATAGTAGCATAACAAGGAATTTGTGAGTAGGTGGGCGGCAATCACGCTGACCCACTCTAGTGACGCTACTAGATAACAAATTATTTATTACTATCCAACTGCCGAACTATTTCAATGAAATTTTAAACAAATATATGTGCTGCTTAAAAAAATGTTTTCTTGAAAATATGAAGGCAATGGCAAACATATGACTTGCCTACTTAAGACGGCTAATCTGACATCTCTATCGAACGCATCTAGCATGCGAAAAGACTCAGAATCATGATATCTACCTGTCTCAGTAGGATAAAGCTAATAGTCATTTTAGACTTCTCATATGTATCTCCCTTAGAATATTCAAATTACAATGACAATAGAAAGTTTGCAGTGTATAACAACAGGAGATATGTGAGCACGCATGAACAGCACTTGTTGAGAAAGTCTCAAGAATGCATATCAGCAAAAGGGCATTAATATTTCAATAAACAATGATAAAGGGCAAGAATAACGGTTCTTATTATTGATTATTTTACGTTTTAGGATATAAACCCATCCATCGTAATACAGTATCTCGTCGAATCAAAAGATTAAAGGATAAACATCGATCAAAATTAATCGACCAATTAAAGAATATTGAATCAATTTCAATAACAACGGATTGCTGGTCGAATAGAACCAACAACTCGTTCATCGTTCTTACAGGTCATTTTTATACAGATGATCTCAATCTAAAATCCACAATTCTTGCTTTCTCATCTTTCAAAGAACGTCACACATCAGTACAAATAGCTCGAATTATGACATTCAAATTACGACAATTAAATATTTTGCATAAAGTTAATCGAATAGTTTGCGATGGAGCAAAAAACTTATCGAATGCAATTGATTTAATGAATATTAATGCTCAGCGTATCTGGTGCACAGCTCACCGACTACACTTAGTTATTACAAAAGGTTTGGCACTCTGGCCAAAAAAATTAAAAAAACAGGATGAAACTGAAGAAGGTGAGACAAAAGAACTACATTGCAATATTATATTGTCAGCTTTATGAAATCTCTGAAAAAAAAGTAGTTAGATATTATTACCGGATATATTTCCATCTATTATTTCATGCGTAGTTTACAATACAAAGCATTCGTATTCAGAACGGCACTTAGTGGAGAGAAACTACTTCGGTTCTGTTCACTTATGTGGGATAGAGGTCTTCTGATTGCTTTAGGTATTTGCTACAGTCTTTAATCATTATGACGTATTTTCTTCCTTTGAAATGGAAAGAATGAAAGGAACACATAGATTTAATTTACTTTGATAAACTGAAACGGGTAATATGAACATTTTGAGTTTTCATGGATGAAGATGGAGCAAATCAATACAACTAAAGTTAAACACGAAGCTCGCATATCCAAATTTAAGAAATAAATTATTCTTTCAAAAGAATGAGGTATCCATCAGAAGATTGTTTTACATGAATATGTAGAAAATAAGCCAATTCTTCGTCTGAAGTTCGGAGGGAACAAAAATAATTTTCTTTATCACATATAGTATATTTCTACTCGTCTGAGCACTTCTCTATTTGCATCCTAGTCATGCAGCCGAGAAATCTTCTCGAAAAATGACGTAAAATGAAAATGAAAATTTGTTATCATATTTTCTGTTGTGTTTTTGTTTCATAATCGTTCGATAGAACATAGAAACAAAACAGAAAAAAATTAGCTGACAGGCTGATATTAATCAGAAAAAAATCAAATAAATATATATTAGAAGTCAAAGATGAGCACCAGTCTTCTGTTCATCTTTACACACACATTTTATGTTCGTGTGGATCTTTATTTCTCCAAACTTAACTGTGCTTTTACCGTAATCCGATTGTTGCTCATATAAAACCTATGTGACTATCATCATCTTCGCAAAAACTAAGCGCATCGAATGGTGTGATAAAATGTTTAACCATCGAGTACGGCATTTCTACTGATTTTATCGCAGGACTTCAATGTTGAATTCAAATGCTTGGTTCGTAAACCGATCACGGAGAATAATGCAAACAAATTTTGACTGAACGCGAGTGAGAGAAAAACGATAATAAAAACTAATACTTAGAAACAAACTATGAAGAAGTTAGAATGGGTGCTCTCTCCATCAACTTGAGACATTTTGGGACAGATGATAGCGTCGAGCTGGTATGATCTTTCTTTAATGTCTCGAATGATCTGAATTGAAGAAATAATAAACTATCACTCTTATTGTTCCATTTATCTTATTGGCTCACGAATCACTAAAGCTCAAAGGAAAAAAATCCAAATATCAGTAAACAATCTTGAAAATGAGCTACTGAAATCAAGAGGCTTTTTTCAAAGAGAAACGTCTCAGAAGCAAAAGTTTTCTAATACAATGATGAGATTTGATAAGCCTGTCTACCAGACAAGTTGATATTATCCATGTTAACACAGAATCGATAACACTTAATGTTGAAATAATCTCACAAAAGACACCTGCTTTCCCGCTCAGTAATTACCATTAGAAACAAAAGAAGCGACTTGTGTAAGAGTTGAAATGTTCCATCAGCATGGCACCTCTTTTTCAAAGGCATTTGAGAGTAGTTCATCCTTCTAAGTTCGATCGGCAGTATATGTGATGAAACTGTCAGCTCTAGTTGTTGCTGAATACAGTTCCAACTACTTCTTACCGGCGATGTAATGCTTTTCAACCACAGTATTTTCTAAAACGCATCACGAAAAGTCTAAATGCTATGCCAGTAATATTTGAGTAATGTTCTTTATTGTGATTATCTTGAACAACATCATTGTAGAGAATATTATTGGTATATTTGATTTTCTAGGTGTTGATCGTTTACGTACGAATCTTGAAAAATCAATTGTGACAAATAAAACAGATGTAGTAGTACAAGAAAATGATACAACAAATCAAAACCATTCACCTTATCAATTACAGGAAGATGATCATGAAATAACAGATTCTGACGAGGATGAACAGGAAGAAGATCACGATGATGATGATTTGATAAATATAGATGGTGGTGAAGATGATGAAGATGAAGATGATAATGATCTTATTAATGAAGATGATGAAGATCATAATATCAGTACTTATGAAGAAGATGATGAAGATGATAATTCATCAAATGTTAATGAACAAGATACTTTAGAAGATAATTGGGGAGATGATATTGAAGTCGACGTTCATGATCCAACATTGGCAAAAGATCAACAAATGACATTATCATTAATGATAAAATGTCGTCAATTAATATATATGATAAGAAAATCTTCAGTTTTAACTGCTTATACTACAAGACAACGTAAATTGTCAAAAATAAAACGTGATTTTATACGAGATATATGTAACAGGTGGAACTCATCCTTTTTGATGATTTATGGACTAACACATTTACGTCCAGTTATTGAAAAAATGTTTAATGAAAAATATGATTTGAATTTAAAACATAAACAAATAAAAAAATTAAATATGTTAGAAATATCAAGTACTGAATGGAATTATTTAAATCAGCTGAAACATGTTCTTGCAAGCTTTTATCATGCAACAAAGGCGTTGTGTGGGAGTAATTATCCTTCAATTGGTTCTACCTTTTTTTTTATAAACAAATTGAAGCTGTTCTTAATGAAGGATAAAGAGGACAATGTAATAGTAAAACGTTTAAAAAAATTACTATTAACAAAAATGGTACATTATTTTGAAGAAGATCGAAATCAGTTCAATCTTCTTAAAGTAAGTAAAAATAAGCATTATTCTTCTTGCTGCTATAAAGCCTTCTCAAAACTTGTAGTAAAAAGAGTTTTAATCTTTACTAATATAAGTTTCAAAAATGTGAAGATATGTCCTCCAACATTTTGCCATAATTTGAACAGTACTATGAGTTAAAATAGCAAATGTATCTGAGCTAACCTTACATTGACCCATCAAATATTATTATTTTAAATCGCATTAGTTCCCAAAATGCAAACAAAAAAGCAAACTCAAACGTAGGCTTTAACAAGTTTTTCGTAAAAACAATTTGAGTTGTTTTTCTTAAGTGACTGAATTTTTCTCCTTAAGCTTATCCTCCCCCTGAAAATCGATCTTTTCTATGGTGCGTGTAGTTCCCATGGAACTTTCTATAAATGCTCTGTCTATGGAGATACATAGATAAAAATTTCATGTCTCGAATTCTCACTGTTCTGAAGATTTCTAAGAATCAAGGCCTAAAATAGGGCTTCTACAAGAACAAATGTTAGTTTAGTACAGTTCAAGCTAGAGTGTTCAGATTGAACTCATTTGAAATGGAACTCTCTGACGGTTCGGATGAGAGAAATGATTGTTTAAAGATTTTATTTTGTTCTATTTTTGATATGATAAAATCTTAAAATTCTTGGAATCTTAGACAAGATTTTCCATGGAACATTTTGCTTATCTCTTTGTTAAGAGTCAAATAAACAAGTTCGATTCCCTTAGTCGAACGAGGATGTAACTATCTATCGAATAAAAAAAACGTAGTTTACTAAAACGAACTGTATTGAAAAAAATTTCGCGATTTGACAACTTATGAGAAATCACCTTCGAGAAAAGCGAATGTTTTGGAGCCGGACTTGAACCTAAATCCAGCAGATTCATATCTGAATGTGCCCAACCCCGATATTAATTTGTATACTATCGAAAGGAGGACCAACATTTCAGTTATTGATTGATCACTTTCAGAAAAAAGTTAATATAAAGTTATTGCTTGCTGTTTTCCGTCACATATTTCTACTTAGATTCGAGTCTAGCAACAAACCAGATCTGTAAAAACCTGCAGATCCTTAGTGTACAGCGCAAAAAATGTTCTCTGACGTTTTTCATTTTTCTCAAAAAAAAAAGACACAAACGAATACTCTTTTGTTAATAAAACGAAAACTAACATGAGGCAGGAAATGTTGCCAACATTTCTAAATTGTTTTTCCTTTCATTTCAGTTTCATAGTTATTTTGATCCAACAGGTTTTACAGCTTTGTCAGATGCAGACAAACGACTCGTCGAATATGAAATTAAACAACTTTCAAAAAATGATGACTTAGTCATTAATAATCTATCATTAACCGCATCATCATCATCAACAACAATAACATCAACACCATCTGCTACAAGTTTATCAACAACAACTAGTACATCAATTTCTGTAAATACATCATCAATATCCAAAACTAGTAAAAAACCAAAATTAACATCAATGGAAGCGTTTCTTGAAAGTGTGGGGGACGACCCTTCACAAATACAAACTACTACATCACCACCAACGATCGTTGAAGAAATCTACGATTATCGGTTGCTAATCACCAAATACAATTCGTGTCATAAACCATTAACGTCGTCTTGCACACAGTTTTGGAAAACATATGGAGCCAATTTTCCTCGTCTTTTTAAATTAGCTAAACAATTTTTATGTACGCCGGCCACAAGTGTCGCGTCAGAGTCTGCCTTTTCAACAGCAGCTTTTATAAATCGAAAAGAGAGATCTAGATTATCACTCGAACAGCTTGCTGCAACTGTTTTCTTGAAAGTAAGTTTCTAAGATAAAAAAGTGTCTGAGATTTACTAGCAAAACATTTACGAGAATTAATACGAGCTAATTGTGTTTCTCATTGATAATGGATAACATAAAGAACTATTTATTACGGGCCACCGCATTCATAGGATTAGATGCGATCTGAAAATTGAGATGCTAAACGTATTGTACTTCTGACATATTCTATTGTAAAAGTATAATGATTTTATATGCCATTAATATTTGTGAAAAGCCCTGTGTAAATACTAGTTGAATGAAGAATTTAACAAAATCATTTTCTGCAAAGCGAAGCTCTGGGGGCATAATTTTCAGACAAATCCATGTGACAAAAATAGGCAATAGCACACTAAAAATGTCATAGAAATCTTTCTATCTGTCAATACAACTGAACCATTCTAAATTAGAGGCTCATACAAAGCTATCTGATATTAGTAATAGAAATTTTCTCTAAAATATCTCAGTTAAATTATATAATCTCTTATGAATACTGCACAAGAACTATCGGAAATCGTAGTACGACAGTACAGCTTAATAATTCTGTGTATTTTGATTGATATACCATTTTTACTTCGAGATATTTACGCACCGTAATTCGTTAAATATCAAATATCAAATCTTTAAGTGAATCGCGTTAACTCTAAAGCGGCATTTGAGACACTCTGTATACATCTGATATTTTATTACATGAACCTCATTTTCTATCTATTTCCTTTATAATTTTAGGATAAACTTGACGATTAAAAATTCAAATTCGATCTATTGTACATACGTCAAAGTTACACATTTTAAATTTTTATGGTATTCTAGGACTTTTATACTTCATCTTTATGTATCTCCTTGTTTTATAAAGCGCTATTTTTTTAAATATCGGTATTTGTACAATTAATTTTTTTTTTTAGTACTTTGTTCGATAATAACCTATTTATTGATCACATGATCACAGACGAAAGAATCATCAAAATGAGGATATACTTTTTTTGTTATATAGATAATCAACGTGTGTATCTGTGATTATAGCCTTTCTTGATTTTGCTTCTCTGTATCATATTCAAGTGTTTTTCTTACTTTTATGTATTCTATGTGGTAAAATATATACTCTATTATCTGGCATATAAGTTTAAAAGCTTTTTAAGTAAGGTCCTGTACTGCGAAACTCGCTCTCTCACAATCTTTTCTCCATAAGTATCTGTAAAAAATTTTAACTGAATCACAGCAACGGATACAACTCATTACTTTCCAAAACTTCTTTTTTAACTATTAGAAAAACATTTGTTAATAAGCAACAGGCTGAACTAGTTCAGTATAATAATATTCAAAACATATTGCACGACCAACAGAACAAATATTAGCGCAAAGAAAATTCTCATCAATATATGATTTCAATAGAATCACTATCTGTTTTTAGAAACCGCTCCATAG